ATTAGTTCCTCAAGGGAAAAAAAAACAACTCAGAACCCAGGTTTGGAGGTCCATCTCAGCTCCCTGTAGCTGATTTAAACCTGGTGACTGTTTATTCAGTCCCTCCAGGCAAATCTCTCCTTTGCCTGGGCTATCTAGGGTCCCACGAGGCTAACACCATCTATGGCACCTCTCTCCTGTTGGGCTTGACAACCTTTCACTGAGCACTCTCTTCTCGTGTCCCCATCCATCCAACTGGTGGGTCAACCCACAAGTACCTCGCCATCTGGCATTACTTACCTTGTTCTGGGGTCAGATTGGTCACTCACTTGGAGTTGCAGTATCCCAGCGTACCACAAGGATTTGGCTGGCTGGGTCTCTGTTGCAACGGAGTCCTCTTCCCAGTCCTGCCACACAATCTTTTTTCCCCTGGATATTAAATGCCGAACCTCTTTTGGTGTTCTCCTTTTAAAGTTCCTGAGCTTCCTCTGAGCCATCAGCACCAACTCCCGAGGCACATATTCCCTGGACCCGGTGTGTTTCTTCAGTTCCCCCCCTTCTTCCCCCAGAGCTCCTTTTAGCATACTGAGGAAGTGCAACCCATTCTGACCCTGCCGGGTGGGTTTCCCTCCCCCCCGGCATTCTTCCCTGCCGTGCCAAGCAACATAGCTTGTCTTAACCTGCTGGGCGAGTTCCCTTTCTGGAGTTTGTCCCTGTGTAAGGAAAACTTACTGGGAGAAGGGGAGATACAGCGGGACGCCACGCCCGCAGCTGTTCGCGGTGAAAGTGAAACTGCAGCAGCTCTGAAGATCAAAGAAAAAAACCCACGGAGGAGCTAGGAGGAGCCGGGAATGGCTCCCGTGTCCGCCTGGGCACACTTTATAAAAGCGTGCCAAGGGCGATTGGCTGGGCGGGCAGCTGGAGCCGGCAGAAAAGGCTCACCTGGAAAGGAGCGGGGGGACCAGAAGGAGCGTCCCCAGCTGGCCCAGAAGGGTCAGAACAGCCAGATGGTGCAAAGAAGGAGAAGGCTTGGTGGCTCCCTTAGGAAGGGAGCATGGAGGGAATACCGGGCCAGCGTGGGCTCAAGGAGCTGCCGGCGGACCTGTCGTGGGCCAGAGCTGGTAGCCCCAGTGACTGGGAAGGCAACAGACGCAGCCAAGACGGGACCCTGAACTGAACAACCAGCAGCAGGGAATCAGTGATGCGTCAAAGGAGGTGGCAGTCCGGGTAGAATCCAGCTCCACATAGACCAGACAGCAGAGAGGGGCCGCAGGGAGAGCTCGGCACTAGCTACACTGGTGGTCAACAACTGCACCCCAAAGGGACCGAGCGCCGGGGAGGGCCTGAACATCGGCCCTGACAAGCAACATCACGGTTGGCATTAGGCAGGGTGTAGGGGAGGTGGAGCTCCAAGAAGAGGCCGTCATGAGGAAGGCCAAGGGAAAGAACCAGGGGTACAGGACCAGACATTGTCCTCCCGATTTAAAACCCTTTATCATCAAAGACATGGCAGGCGAGACCCCTGGGGATCTGACCTGAGGCCACTCCCACTAGCCTGGCCGTGCAGCCCAAGAAGCCACGGCAAGATTCTTAAAAGAGTCACATGTGCAATCCTCGGGAGAAAGGCACGGCGCTCAGGAGAAAGGCATGAGAAGTTACACCCTGCATCATTGGGGAAGCATGGCTCGCCCGGACCCCACCGGGTAAGTATTTCCCCAGGGCTTGTTGCCAGTGTGCCAGGAAGGCATGGCTCATTTGGGCCCTGCTGGGTAAGTTTCCCCCCTGACACAGCCCCTCCTTCAAGGGTCTAGGAGGGGTGCATCCCAGCCCCTGCTACAGCCTCACACATAAACCAACGGATAGAAATAATTCTAATTCTTTCTCCAGCTTCCCCAAAAGTTTTACACAGGATCGAACATTTTAAAATACTTAAAAATACAGACTCCAACACGCCCTACTGAACACAGCCTTTAAAACTAAGTAACCATTGTCATAAAAGAACATTCAAGCTTGCATATATACATTTGAACTGAATGACAACACACATCATGCTTTCTTATCCCATTTTAGAATGATAAGTGGCATAAATTACGTTTCCTTGGGCAACTTTATCCTGACAGGTATCAGAGTAATTCACAAGCTTAAAATTACCCACAAGGATCTTTCCATTCACAGCCTAATAAAAAACAGTAATGCTACATTAAAGTGAAGATAGGATCATAATTAAGATAATCTATATACAGCCTAAAAAAAGAATAAGTTCACCTCAGTTTTCAAGGAAAATTATGTTTAATATGGCAATGGGAATGTAGTTGGCTGGAATGTGAATATAAAAATGGAAAATTACAATATTCAAGGGTGAAACAAAACAAAAGAAGTTCAACATGCTCAAGTTATCAGGACCAGATCATTCCTATCCCAGAACTAGGAAAAAACTGGCATGTGAAAATCACACATCATGCCAGTTAGATAACCAATTTTCCATACAAGACAAATGCAGTAGATCTAATGTGTCTGGATTTTCATATAGTTTTTTGATACAAGGCCAAATGGGAAATGATTAATTAAGCTAGAGAAGATGGGAATTAATATAAGACTTTAACAACAGTCTATATATCCTAGATATCAGGAAAAACTTCTTCACGGTAAGGGTGGCCAAAATTTGGAATGGGCTTCCAAGGGAGGTGGTGCTCTCCTCTACCTTGTGGGTCTTTAAGATGCTAGAGAGGCATCTGGCTAGGGTCATCTGACCCCAGCAGTCTTTCCTGCCTAGGCAGGGGGTTGGACTCAATGATCTGTTGAGGTCCCTTCCGACCTTAGCATCTATGAATCTATGAAACAGGTAATAAAACTTAAAGTAGACAACAATTGGTTATGTCTATTTAAATTAGAAAAGGGCTTCTAAGATGATCAAGGGAATGAAGAACCTCTCTCATGAGAGAAGAGGAATTAAAAAAAAAAGGTTTCCTTGTTTAGCTTAGTATAATGTATACTGAGAGAATATAATTGCTTTCTATAAATGTATCCAAAGGGAGTAGGGTAAGACACCAAAGAGGGAAAGAACTGTTTAGGCTAATGCACAAGGTTGGCATAATAACAAACGGCAATAAACTGGCCATGAATAAGTTTAGGCTGGAAGAGAATTTCTAACCATCAAAGAAATAAGGTTGTAGGACAGCTTCCCAATAGGACCAGGGGAAAACAAACTATTTTTTAAGATGGAGCTTAATCATTTTATGTGTAGCAACCTTGAAAAAAATGGACCCACCTGAACAGAATGGGAAGGGCTGCCTGGCAGAGAGACAGTTTGTCCCAGAGGGAACACTGTAGGCTCTGAGGGCAAGTGAAGCTGTTTTGGAAGCAGCCCTGTTGGAAGTGGTAGGGGTGATGTAACCCCAGCAAAGTTTTGAAATAGAGCCATCAGCAAAAGCCCAGGAAGGGCCCTTAGCTGGGATTGGCTGAGAGGCTTGGATAAAAGGGGTAGCAGATTTCCCCCAGGAGGAAACAAGAGAGAGAGAGAGAGAGAGAGAGAGAGAGAGAGAGAAAGGAGGAGCTGAGGGACAGGCTGGAGACCAAATTCAGAGTCTCAACATAGTGGTCCCTTGGAGAGCCCCTGAGAGAGCCCTGCGAAAGCAGCAGCAGAAGCTGCCACAGTGACACAGTATCCAGTGTGATACAGTATCCAGTTCTTCTCTCCCACGGGTAGGCTGCTGTGGCAGGATCAGGCAGGGACTGCTTGTGTGGAGACTCCAAGCCTGGAGAGACCCGACTGCAGCCAGTGTGGCTGGGTGAGCATAGCAGAGCCGGGGAGGGAGGGGTGGGGTACACGACTGCCAGAGTCTGCCCTAGTTTCCCTGATGGGTGAGGGGCCACAGGGGCAGGCAAAGCCCAGGGAAGGGCTGCATTTACCGGGGCTGTGAGGCTGTGTGGGACAGGAGGGTTGCTACAGCCTGCAGCCCAGACACTGTTCACAGCAGAGCCGGGGAAGGGGGTCGAAGGCAGGGGGAGGCTATCTTGCAGGAACTGCAGAAGAGGAGCTGCAGCTTGCTGCCCAGAGACTCCAGGAGCACGGAGGCGGACACCAGTGCCAGGGAGGGGCCACAGACCACGTGCAGGGACACAGACAGTCCCACTCCCTGAGATACCCTGCTAGGGGCAGTGCGCACAGGATCCCCAGTACTCCGTGTGCAAGTGAGAGATTGTAAATAAGTACTTGAGGGTTTATTAGTCGATATATCCATGTGCTTATTTAATGATTATTTGTTATGCTGTAAATAATTAAATCTTGTAAATAGTTCATAGATTTCATAGATTTCATAGACATCAGGGCTGGAAGGGACCTCGGAAGATCATCGAGTCCAGCCCCCTGCCCAAAGGGCAGGCTACTGGGTACTCCAGGATCCCACTATTCAGGTGAGGGCGCATGTAGTGTCGTGCCCAGGGTTACATATGAAAGAGTTTTTCCGACATGGTTTCCTATGCTAACAGAGGCCTGAACTGTGTAACCCAGAAGGTTCCTTTCAGTCCTATGTTCCTGCACAGCAAGTGCCAGAGCAATTTAAGTTAAGAGTGATTAATTATTAGGCAGGCTAGATTTTGGTTAGGATTTTGCAAGCAGTGACATGGAAACATTAATGATCACAAGTGGTCAGTTCCATATCTCATCCCAAAGGCAATGCTTATGATTCTTAAACAATGTGTAAACATGGACAGTATGGTGTTCAGATTTCACAGAAATCATCCATCATATATATAGTCAACATGAGCTGCTTCCCTCTTAAATGTATTCTGTCAAGGTTCTAAAATAACTAACAAGCAGTAGCAAGAATTTTTTTTTTGATTATAGTACATCTGTCCAAACAAAAACAAAAAGGTTAACAAATTCTAATGGAAATACAAATACTTTCTTCAGCAAATTAAATTACTGTTCCTTTGGACTAGTTCTAACAACATACATTGTCACTATGCTAAATAAAAGAAAGCATACTATTTCCTAGTTTATTTACAAGCATGTAACTTACTTTCGATTAACAACCAGCCACTCCCGAATATATGTCTGAATGCAATCCCGGACATGAGGATCCAATTCAACTCTGGGAAAGAAAATGAAAGAAATAACACGCTGTTAATACTTTATAAACACCATGGGGCATCTCTATAAGGTTTATCTAAACACAGTGTAGATCAGAACATGCTCAATGTACCAGGATTGGCCCCTACGTGCTGGAATTGAGCCCTGGGGCCCAAACTCCCACACCCTAACCTGCACACTGGGATTGAGGGATTGGGGCCCCACACCACCACTGAGCACCAGGATTGGGCCCTGTGCACTGGGATTGGGCCTCAAATCCCCATATTTTCCCTATGTGTCAGGATAGGGTCCTAGGGCTCTGTACCACCCCCACCCAGCCCCGCATGCCAGAATCAGATCCAACTCACCAGTAGTGGGCCTGGGGCCCCACACTACCCCCATGTGCATGCCCTCTAGCCTACGGTGTTCCCCACACATTCAGAATATTGGAAGCAGGACATAAGCGCATACCCTGCCACCAAATTTTTGGACCCATAGGAAGCACCATGGGCTGGATCACCCAGTGTTGGGGGTTCAATTTGGCCAATGCACTAGGGGGTTGAACACCCCTGCTGTACAGCAGAAGACACTTAGGTTAAAACTTCTCTACTGTTTTGTTAATGACTTCTAAAATATTCCCTGAGGTTTACAGAAGTACTGCACAGGTTACATAGTCAGGATTCTGTTGCTGGTTTTTTTTAAACTACTGAATTAACTATTTACCACTCCAACTCTTTCATGAACATGGGATTAATGTTGCCATAAAACACCTCAAGACAAAAGGACTGTGCAGGTATCCATCAGTTTTATAGCTAATTGATTTTTTTTTTCCTAAAAGACCCAGCTTCTAAATTCATGAGTCTATAAAACCAAATGGCCAATCATGGTTGAGCTGTTTTTTTTTTTAATGCAAGTTTCTAGTTCTCTCACTGGTAGAGAAAAACTGAAAGACAAGACCGAGTCCTCCCTAAAAACTCAGAAATAAGATCTCAAGATCTTTAAATCATAGAAGTAGGGTCGGAAGGGACCTTGTAGATCTTCAAGTCCGACCCCCTGCCTGGGCAGGAGGAAAACTGGGCTCAAACGACCCGTCTGGTAGGTATCAAGCCGCTTCTTAAAGACCCCCAGGGTAGGAGCCAGCACCACTTCCCTAGGAAGTTGGTTCCAGATCCTAGCTGCTAACCGTGAAGTAGTTCTTATGGATGTCTAATCTAAACCTACTCTCCAACAACTTGTGGCCGTTATTCCTTGTTATCCTGGGGGGCGCTAGGGGAAACAAGGTCTCCCCCAAACCCTTCTGGTCCCCCCTAGTTTCTTTATAGACAGTCACAAGGTCCCCCCTCAGCCTTCTCTTGTGAAGGCTGAACAGGTTCAGGTCCCGTAGCCTCTCATTGTAGGGTCTGCCCTGCTGTCCCAGGATCATGCTGGTGGCCCTCCTCTGGACCCTCTCAGTGTTGTCCACATCCCTCTTGAAGTGGGGTGGCCAGAACTGGACACAGTACGCCAGATGTGGCCTGACCAGTGTCGCGTAGAGGGGGAGGATCACCTCCTTTGACCTACTTGAGATACACCTGTGGATGCACGATAAGGTCCGGTTAGCCTTCCTGACCGTGACCTCGCATTGTCGGCCCACGTTCATCTTGGAGTCAATAATGACTCCAAGATCCCTTTCTGCCTCCGTGCTCTCAAGAAGGGAGTTTCCCCGTCTTATAAGTGTGCTGCTGGTTACTACTGCCTAAGTGTAGCACCCTGCACTTGTCCGTATTGAAACGCATCCTGTTTTTGTTAGCCTACCCCTGCAACCTATCCAGGTCTTGCTGCAATCTCAGGATTTGGGGATCTAACTCCCTATTTTTTAAGGTGTGGGGTTCACAGTACTGAATATACCACCTTAAATTCTGTGACTCTAATCCTTTTGGTGTACTTTTAATTCTTCTAATCTGGAAAACTAACAGATATTTATTTTTATGAGATGACTTAGATCATTCTTGCAGCTGTTGTTAAAAATTTATCATCAGAAGTGTTCACAAAACACACTGAAGAAGGCTTAATCCTTCCTTCCTGACTCAAGCCTGTTCCTTTTTATTAAGCCCCTCTGGGATGTCAGCAGGGCTAGGGACAGACATTCAAAAAGCCTGAGCCTGAATTGATACAATCTTTGCAGGATAGTTTAACCTGCCTAAGTTGAATTGGTTTGTATCAGTACAGACATTCCCTCTGGACTGAGGAAATGCGGGCACATGCCTGCAGTGGCTCAGGCTTGAAGCCATGGGACACTAAGGCACCCCTCCCTTCTCTTCCACACTGCTGAGCTGAGGACATGGTGGACATAGCTAGGCCCTGGCAGGACACTGGTTAGGGAGGGGTGTAAACCCCACCCTGCCTGCACTATCCCGGGCTTTTTCTCTGCTCATTGCTCAAGGGACAGGAGTTTTGCCAGATCCCAACCCCCAGCTAGCACTCTGAGGCAAAGGTGGAAGGGGTGAAGTGCATGCATCTGTTGATGATACTGAGCTTTTCAATCTCCCTCTTCCTGCTTCTTCATACCATCTGCAAACCTAATCAGCAAAGGAGCCAGCACGGGGCTGTTTAACAAAACAAAAGCCTCTCTCATTAGTTGAAGCTCTTCTTAAATAGCTTTTTCCAAGGAAGGATGAGAGGAACCTGATGATTAGCTCCAAAAAGCCCTAAGTGGACACTGTTCTGTCTGCCTGGCCCAGTGAAATTGGAGACACACAGACACCTCTCAGCATTAGCTAGCATACCACATTCCTTTTCAGGGGAATGCCCTGCAGGAAGGGCTGGGGGGGACCAGGAGGAAACAAGACAGACCCTGCTGTGCCTGCAGTTTCTGCTGGAGCTTCAGTTAGGGAGCAGAGGGCAGGGCCAGGCCTACTCTCTGGAGAAGACAGCCCTGCCCAGGGCTGCAAGGCATCTGGGATGCCGGGGGGGGGGTTTAATTTAAACCAGGAAGGGGTCTCGGACAGACACTGCATAAACCGGTTTGACCCAGATCAGTTAAGTCTGATACTACATTCAACCATGTTTATCTTTGTGATGGGGACACACTAGGGGCCTGATCCTATGCCAGCCTGCCCACCAGTCTCTATGTGGCAATCTGCCCTGTCTCATCTGTCACGACTTTGCTGTTCCCATACATGGATGGTAAATGTGGGAGACTGCCCATTACATGCCCCGATGCCAGGGGGAACTATCTGCAGCTCCAACCTGCCCTACGCCGCAGCCCATGCCTTGTAGATGGCATCCACATCATGTTTTTAACCCACACCATAACTGGTGCTTCCAGGTCTCACAGGGACTCTCATTCCCTCCCTGGAGTAGCAGGTCATTATGCTCAACTACTGGTCTTACTTTCATTCTACACACAGCCTCCTTGCAGCAGAGGACTTACCGGGGTCAGGACTCGCCCCTAACTTTCTGGCCTAGCCCCCTACTCAGCCTCTGGCCCAAATTACGGCCTCAGGCATCCACAACCATGCCTTGGCATCTTTCCCAAGAATGAGGTTCCTACTATGCTCCCTTTAGGAGCATTCCTAGGGCCTTCTCATCTTCATGATGAACTGCTCTCAGGTATGACCTTTGCGCTGCCCTTCAGGCTTACTCCCTGTTTGGCTCTACTCAATGCACCCCTGGGACTACCCTTCATGTCTACTCCTCGTTCAGTGCCCTCACACACAGCCCTTCAGGCCTATTCCTGTTCCGCCCTACTCTGTGCAAGGCCACACTCTATGCTCCTCATACTACCCCCTCTGGGGTCTCCAGGATCTTACATCCCTGCTAGGCTCAGGTGGCACTCTGCTTGCCATGCCTGGCCCCACTACTCCCACAACTACCTCCAAAGCCCACCTAAAGATGGGGGCTGGGGTTAAGGTGCCCCTCCTCGCCTTTCACTGGGGAGGTAACTGGGGACTCCCACACCACCAGGAGGCCCACCAGGTCGCCCATTCCTAGCAGGGTGCAGTTTTAGGTCATGCCCAGGACCAAGAGCCTCCAGCTCCTACCTGCTAAATGTTCCATGTAGCTTAGCCAGGCAATGTTTCTTCCTGGGCAGGCAGCAGCAAACTGCCATGTTTATATAGGCAGCCAGTGTTCTAAAATGGCTGCCACAATTAAGCACCTGCGTGCTGCCTAACTCAGTCCTTAAAGTGGCAGGCACTGCAAGTGCACTGCCACAATCTTAAACCAATTTCGGCCATTTTGAAGCCGGTTTATGTGCACTGAACTTATGCTCTGTTACAGGTTTAAACCGGTTTCTTATCACTTAAATTGGTGTACGTGTAATGTTTGTCCCGAGGATAAATCTACACAAGAACCCACAATCAGGTTTGGAAAGCACTAATTTTTGGTAGTAATTGCCCAACAAAAACAAAAAGCAATGAAACCCAACCTCTTAACCAAATCTGTAATCAGTTACAGACAAAGTTGGTGCTAAAATTTGTTTGGGTTCACGTGATCTATTCCTGTTTGGTAACTATAGCAGCTGTGGGTTCTCCTTGCAAGAAGCCTAACAAACCTCATGCTCAATTTCCTGTATTTGGTTCAGCACAAGGTTTGTTTTTTTTTGTATGGTTACACAGTATATAGGTATCCCTCTTATTAGCTTGGCTGATGACTTATGCTCCTTGATCCCTGGGCAGTAGGACACCAGAGTGAACACCCCTTCTGCTCTTCTGGGATGTAGGTCCACCAGACTAAGGCACCATGGCACAGCAGCCCAGACTTTTCTTATAAAGCACTAATACTAACATGGGAGATGTAAAATGTTCAAATACTGCTGCCTTATGCAAAGAGTTGCTGGAAACAGTTAAAACAAATGTTTCTTATGCATGCAAATTAAAGACAGCACATGTCACAAATTCGGTGTAGCATGGGCGACTGGTGCCACCTTAGTCGGGGGGGATGGGGGAGGACACATGCCCCCCTACAACCAGTCCTGCCAACCAGGGGGGTCCCCCCACAGCCGATCTCGCTGCCCAGGGAGACCCCCGTGGCCAATCCTGCGATGGCCGATCACTGCAGCTGCTTCTGGGAGTGGCTATGGCTCCTTCTGGGAGTGGCTGCAGCAATCACCTGGTGCTTGCAGGGGGGAGGCCGGTCAGGGGGTGCACCGGAGCTCTCAGGGGGTGCACATGCACCCCCATGCGTCGCCACTGCAGTGTAGAATACAAGGCAATCATACAAAATCTATGGTTAAGGCTGAAAACCCATCCTTAATGTGCCTACATAGGTCCATTTTTACAGGTGCTACTGCAGCAGATTTACATGTATCAGGACATGTTCTGTTCCTAAGGACATCTCTGTCCCCCCCATTTATTTTCCTATTTGTTTCAGTGGAGTTGCACAAGTTAGAAGGCACATATTAGACTGTATCTCAGGGTGTTCTCACCTCTTTTAAGGGCTTGGGGTGATAGAGATCCACCCTGAGAATCAAGGAGCTATAACTACAGATCTGAAATTGCTGCAGCACTGAAGTTCAGCACAGCCAAGAATATGGCCCATAAATGTCATTTATTGAACAGACTAGATTGAGGGAAGGACAGAATATCTGCCATAACTCAAAGCCCATGCTTTTCACTCAGGCACAAAAAAAAATAGTGCATGAATTGTGCATGGTTTAGTTCTCTTTCAAAGACCGAGGAAATCTTTGCCAGAATGTTGCTGACTTCAAATATATCTAAATGACTGCTTTATACCAGACGATAGCTATATAGACCCTTCTGTACATCACACATGTCCTAACATTCAAAACAACCCTGTATTCTACTGTTTTTCTAAGAAACAGCCCAATTTCAATTCACAATGAGATAGCACAAATTGCTAAACAATTGTTAGAAAGTTCTCAATGGCATCTTTTTTTTCCTCTCCAACAAACTCTATTTTTCAAAGATATCCAGGAAATGCATACAAATCTAAATAAATATATTAAAACTTCATGAACACCAGTAACTGTACTTATTAAGGGTCCCATTCAAATCCTATTAAAATCAAAGGGAATATGCCTAACAATTTTATAATCAGATCAGGAACCTATTACTTTAAATCTGTAAAGCAATTTCTAGATTAGTTTTTATAAAACCCCTGGGAGATAGTTAAGCAGTGTCATCACCTTCGTTTTACAGATAAGGAAATTGTTAAATCAGGGTTTATTAGACTTGCCCAAGGCAGTAAAGGCAGTGGCAGAGTAAGAAATTAAAAAAACCCAGTTTTGATTGTTTAAACACCAATATTCTCTGCTAAAATTCAGATCTAGGTTACTTCCCTGTTTAAATGCTTTTGTCACTAAAATGTGAGATACATTGTGTGCTCTCTTCTATAAACAAACCAGTCTTTACATACATGTTACCTCCATTAGGCTCAAAGAAAGTAATGCATACATTAGAGCTCCAGAACAGGCCCTAAGTCCTCTCAGAATTTAGAATAGAGCAGTGCCTCTCTAAACAGCTTAAAAGCATTGCTAAAGTAAACTACCATTTATTTTTATTGCTGTCAACACACGGTGCATGATGAAAGCACCTATGGGTGCTGGTGGCAGCAGCAGAGATATAGCAGAGTTTCAGGTTACAAACTCGGCAATACTTAGCAAATGTTGGGCCCTGATCTCAAGTCTACTGAAGACAATGAAAAAATTCCCACTGGTTTCAGTGGGTTATGGAATAGACTTATAAGCCGACTGCCATGTCTTGGGGCATAGGCTGTGGAAGCTGGAGCTAACAGGGCTTAGCCCCCACCAAAATGTGGCTCCACTGTTTCAGCGCCACCACCACACCCCACCACCACAGCACCTCGCTCAGTGTACTGCAAGAGCCCCGCGGGAGGGAAGGGTGGCCCTGCACTGCCCCCAGCCCCCCAAATAATATTTTCTCCTACCACCACTGCTTGCAGATGGGGAAGCAATGGAGAACAGGCATGTAGGGAAGACCAGAGGAAGAGGGAGGAAACACAGAGGAACAAATCTGGACTGAAAGTAACTCTCATATTTAAACAGATTCCTCTAGGATAGGTGTAAGGCAATAGGCTTAAAACAGCACTGTGCAGAGATATGACCTACGCTTTCTGCACCCTGTCTCCAGAAGCAGTATACTTGGGTTACCACAGTGCTGCATGCATTCAAGAGCTTATTATAGTCCAACTCATTAGTACTCATGTGGCTACACTGCTCTCAGTTCCAGAGCAAGCCCACTGTATCTCTCGAAAGCATGTTCTGCACTGTGCAGACATTCCACCCATGACCCTGGCAGATAAGCAAAGAGCATTAACGTCTGTACGGAAGTGCACTTTCAACTGTAAGTTTCAATTAAAGCCAACATTGAAAAACTTATTCACATACAAGTGTGAATAAGAAAAAGAAAGTGTTTTTTGTTTTGTTTTTTTTACAGTTTGTGAATTAGGATGCAGAGCTGGAGGATCAAGAGACCTTGTAGTCCCATTGTATGCATTTATCAGGGAAATGTGTAGAAGCTCAGAAGCACAGACTTCTGCCCTTTTGGGCATAACCTTCATCCTAGGTTTTATAATCAAGACTTTTTCATATAGTTCACATTCAGCAAAGCTACATACCTAATGAAATGATTCACATGCTCAAAAGTTAGTCATGTGCAACAGTGGCTTACTGAATCAAGGGCATAATGAGGTTTATGAAATTATACATACATCCCTTTGAAATATGGTTTAAATCACAAAAATATATATTTGATAAACTCTCCTCACCCTTCCTCTGGCAAGGATGGCTGCAAAGTCCTGCATTCTTTTGGAGTAAAGACAGTTTCCAAATCATCTTCAGGAAAGTCACCAAGTTCATGCACAAGATCAGAGTCTAAGTGGTTCAGCTGTGTCATCAGGAAACCTTCAAAATCCACTGGATCCACGGCGTCATAAAACTGAGGCTGGGAGCAGATAAAGAATTAGACAGATGGTTTATAGCAATGTGGCGGGGGCTTGTTTTTAGAAAGAAAGGAATAAAAATCTTAAGGCCATTTAATCAGTTCTTGTTGCCTCATCTGTTACACAAACTAGAAAACATATTTTATATCACTTCATGCACTGCAGTGACACAAAAACAAAACAAACCAGAAGAGAGCCAGTGAAACATCTAGTTAGGAATGAAAGAGAAAAGGAATAAAAAAAAATTTTAAATTAAGGGGAAAAAAAGCAGAACGTGCCAAATTTAGGTCCCATTTTCCACTTGTCTCTGCACAGAACTTTCACTGATATCAACAAAATCAAGGCTGGTCCAAGCAATTCAGGGTCCCCTAGAGACCAATTCAGCTGGACTCTATTTCATGGAGTCATTCAGTCTAACCCAACCTATAGCAGGGACAGATAACAGAAGGAGTGGCAGGAGCAGATGAGGTGATCCAGAAGCAAGGAGGTAGACAGCACGCAGGCAACTGTGAAAGGGCACTGAAACACCTTCAGCATAAGGCAGCAGAAATCCAGACCATGCAAACTGAGCCCACCAAGTAACACAGAAGCAGGTACTGAAAAAACAGACAAGTAACAAAGTAAGAATCGTCCAAATGCCTGAGGTTTGGGGCACCTTGGCTGAAATAATTTGGGTGCGACTGTCATATATACTAAGTAGTCACAAGTATAAATAAAGATCTGGTACTCCCAGGCCAGATACAGACATTACACTTTTACTAGTCTAAATGATCGGAAACCAACACATACTTGTACTAGAACAGAATTTTGGCACACACAGGCTGCTTGTACACATGACGCAATTATCATGTACACACGACAAAAATGTCACTTTGTGTGGCTTAATGGCATCACACTGTACCGGTGCAAGACTTTTGGGGGTTTAAAATGAGTTTTCATCGTTGAAAACTAAACTACATTCTGATGTACTTTAGTATGCAATGTTGCAAATTGCAGCACTGCAGCTGTCACTTCACCCCCCAGCTATGGGAGAGGGAGCAGACTCTGCAGGAAAAAAAAAATTGGGTGGGCCACTCACTACTTCTGCCTTCATCAGGGTCCTGCAGCTAGCAGGACACCTGAGGTCGCCTAGGAATGGGATGGCTTGCCCCTGAGGCAGTGCAGGAAGGTGGCAGGAGGGTGGCTGGGTTTACTGGCGGTGGGAGAAGGTGGCAGGGATGGTACACAGGGCACTGGAAGCCAAGGTATGCTGCTAGGTAGCTGGGTGCTGCCCCCATTCAGAGGCACCTGATCCAATGCTTCCCCAAGCCTGCCCAGGCCTCTAGAGTCCTGTCCCCACCACCTTCTCCAGCTGCCAGCAAACCCAGCTGCCCTTCCTGCACTTCCCCAGGGGCAAGCCAGTCCGTTCCCAGGCAGCCCCAGCTGTCCTGCTAGCCACAACAACCTGCTAAAGGCAGAAGTGGCAAGGGGCCTAAGCTTTTGGGGGGTTTTTTTGGTTGGAGCCAGAACCTGTTTGTAGCCAGGGGATGAGCTGCCAGTAGGCCGAGTGGCCCCTAACCTGTGGGGGACCCCGGTCCTTCCCTCTGCAGTAGTGGCATCCCCTGGGGCTGGCTGGGCAGGCTGCTAGCAGGTCGGATGCTGCCCCAGCTCAGAGGCAGCACCTGGCCTGATCCAACTCTTCCCTGAGCCTGTCTGCTGAAAGCCTGCTGGGCACTGCTCCCCAGGTGGGCTCAGGAATGAGTTGGATTTCAATTTAGGGGGCGGGCTCAGGAAAGAGTTGGATTTCAATTTAGGGGGCATAGAATAAAACCCTGAGGACTAAACCCCTGTCACATGTACAAGCGCCCATAGACTGGTTTAAAAATGGCAGAACCTAGACTAAGATTTGCCCCACCCCGTAAAGGATGAGTGTGTGTTCTGTTCACTACCAATCTAAACTATGCCACTTACAGAAAGCTGCACAATTTTGATCGATTTTGCCTTGTTTTTTTTGTTAATGTCTGTACCTAGCCCCAAATAAGACTGCCATCTAGAGAAAATAGCCCTGTCTAGTACAGCAGAGTTTTATTTTCCAAATGTTACAGTAGTAAATTGCTAGAATATAGCGAATTACTATGTTATTACTATAACAAACCTATACACATCATTTCTACAGTATATTATGCTTCAGCTTAAGCAAGCCAAAGGATATTTAAGGAAGGCATAATTATACAGTACATCAAGTTCAGAACAAAGTTCAACAGATGTGAATTCGTCCAATGGCATGCACTATAATGTTGTTTGGTTCTTTTTACTTGCATAGTCTGAACAACAGTGACAGAATTTCCTCTTGCAGAGTGGAAAAAGATCTTCACTACAAGACCGAATGCACTTATAAACAAAACATTTCTATGATCTTCTTATATATTAAGTGTATAAGTTATTACATATATAAAGGGTACATAGCAAGCAAAAAGAAATTGCATTAACTAGTAAAAATAGCCTTTCAGATATACAGTCTAAGTACAGACAGATAAAAAGTCCAAAGATGAATCTATTAAATCTTCACAGGTTAATTTAAACTGTGCAGATTGAACCAATAAGCAAGTGAACAGACACTCACTTTTTATTTCAGAAATGCAGCCACGTGCCTGCAGCGACTCAGGGCAGAACAGGGGTGAGGAATTATTTTGGGCAGAGGGCTGCTTACTGAGTTTCGGCAAGCCATCGAGGCCACATGACAGGCAGCCCTGGGCAGATTAATATTAATTTTCTAAATTTCTTAGGGGCCCCGCGGGATGGATATAATGGCCTGGTGGGCCGCATCCAGCCCCCGGGCCACATTTTGCCCACCCCTGGGCCAGACACTGGGGAGCACTAGAGCATGCCTCCCTGCTTGGCTGGAGCAGGCAGCTTGGGCCAACGCTAGCCTGCCAACCCTGAGAGGGGGGATTTGCAGAGAAAGTGCAAAGCATCCTGGCATGCTGGGGAACTGTGAGTTAACCCAAATCTGGAGGGGACTGGGGACAGAAGTTCAATAAACCAATTTAACCTAAAGCAATTAAGTCAAGTGCAGGTGGAAGGGGTAGCACTTTAATTAAGAGTGGCTCCAAGAGCTGCTCTAAATAAAGCTCTGCTGCATCTCATGAATCACTGTCCCTGCACTTAAAAATGGTGGCAGGGGTGCTTGAACTAAAGCATGTTTGACAAGCTTTAGTTCAAGCACCCCCACTGCCATTTTTAAGGACAGGAACACTGATATACAAGACAGAGGAGGCTGCTGGAGCGCAGTAATTGCCACACTCCAGCAGAATCGATTAATTGAGTCTCTCTGATGTGTTGGAATTCCAGCATGTTGGAGCAGCCGCCACGTTCATGTATATGTGTGCTCTGATACTACATCCATCCAGGTTTATTTTAAACTGGTTTTTGCCACTTTGAAAGAGGGGTACATGCACTGAACTTCTGTTGTGTTACAGGATTTGAACCAGTTTCCAATTACTTATACCAATCTATATGTAATTTCTGTCTCTAGCCGGAATGAAATTGGTCTCCAGTCTGTTACAAAAACTGTTATACTATACTGGAAGATTTCTTCACAAATAATGAAATTACATAAAAGCCACAGCTTTAGATGATCTATCCTCTTCTGTTACATGTAGAAAGATCCATGAAAATCTGTGTATAATGTGATCCATGGAAGGTGTTAGGGTGATAATATTTGGATTTTTGGAGAGCACTGGATCTGCAGCTGGAGCAAGGCTTTAATCTGTGTCTCAGCAAAAGCTGCTGGCCACAAGGCAGAATGATGTATTAAAATAATCTTGCAGATGCTTAGGCAAGTAGTCTTTTAACAATGGGATAGCGTGCAGGATACATGATTCCTTGCGTAAGGAAAACAAGATGCAGCCCACCAGCTATCGTCAGGAGATAAAGGAGAAGCAAGACCTTGGAGATGAAGGAGTCAGCAAGAAACCAGAAAGAACCAGCAAGTGACCAAAAGAAGCGGAGGTCAAAGTCTTGTGCATGCACTCTTAGCAGAGTCATGTAAATGAATGAAATGCATAGGCAATCCCATGCTAATGAAGTAAACAGTGGCAGAGCTTGAGATAGGAGGAGGTATGGGTGGAACCCAAGGAGGGACATAGGTGGAGTGAATGTTAATAAGTATGAACCAAGGTTTATAAAATGTGAAAAGAACTAATGTTCACTGCTGCTCCCCTGGTTTCACGGGCTGTGCGTCTGTGTGGGAGCTCGCACAAAGCTATATAGCTCCTTCCTTACCTCCAAGAATGATACATGAAGCCTTGCAGCCAGGTGATGTTGCTGCCTCGGCCGCCAGAAGCGGACTGCCCTGTTTAAATGGGCAGCCAGAGCTCTAAAAAGGCTGCCACAATTAAGCACCTGCTGGCTGCTTGGCCCCAGTCTTAAAGTGGCAGGCACCAACAGTGCCCTGCCACACACCTTCCCCCTTAAAATGGTACCTTGGGGGTTTCCCCTGCTACTCCTCCAAAGCAGGCTCCCCTCAGAGCTTGTGAGAGCCCTCAAGTGGCAAGTACCCCCAAAGGTGCTCCGCCACACACCTCCCCCCTTAGAACGAGATCTGGGGGGCTTCATTTGGCTGCCTTCCCTGCTGGGCTCTGCCCCAGCCTACTGTAGCCCCTGCCACGTGGTGAGCACCCCAAAGGTGCTCTGCCACACCCCTACCAAGTAAAAACACCATACCCTACATATGCTGTTCTATAGATGGAGATGATGAAGAATATTCAGTAGTTAAAGAAAATGTGAAATCAATGTCTCGGATACAAATACAACCTTTACATTTAATATTGCAGCTACAACTGTTTCAGAAATTTAACCTGGAGTCAGGCATTTACGTTTTAGTGTTTTTCCATACAAATAAAAACTATGGCCATCTTAAATAGAAAGAAAAAACACCTTTGAATTTAGCCTTTTAAGAAGGTTCCCTTTCCCCCCTTTATCAAACATCTGATTACAGTTATTTTACATTTCAGTGAGTGGATTATTTATAAATTCTTACCCTGTCTTGTTTGCATCTTGTTAGGCACTAATTTATCCTTCCTTTTTCTATATCAGGCATGTTCCACTTTTAAGAATTTTAGGGTATTTTTGTTAGCATGCATTTCTTTCTCTATAATAATGGTACCAGGATGCTTCATGCCCAGTTGTATGATTTACAGTACTGCAAATGAACTTTCCCAATATTCTGACCATAAAATGTTGAGAGTATTACTCTGATTGCACTTCGTGTATGTGAACAAGTATACCTACTGAGCATGAATCCTATGCAATAACAGGATGTTTACTTGGGCATTCCACTGGTGCAGATAGAATATCCCAGCAAGGTATCTAATGAAATGAAACTGCTTTTAAAAAAGCTAAGTGATGCTGAATTACTTCAAGAAGACCAATATAGACTTGAGTTTGTCCCTTGTATCAGTATCCTTGGGCTTTCCAGTCCTTCCAAGTAACTCTCCCATAACAACCTGTTGGGTCAATCCAGTTCTCTAATGGGAAAAGGTAAAACATAAATTTATTTTGACAATCCCCTGATACAGTAGGTGAAAGCTTGGCTTCACTAAATTATACAAACTTTACTGGATCCAAGATTTCATCACAAACCTCTACATCTGTGATATCCAACATCATTAGGTCCAAGGCTTAGGAAAACGGGGAAATTTTGCATTCTATATATGATGCAATGATGCTCAGCAGTCAAAAAGTTCATCAAATCTCTGGCCTAACCCATTTTGCACTTAATATGGCACTGCATCCATAAAATGTGGTTATTTGAGAGAATGAAAACATGGGTTAAATACTGGAAATGGAGTACGCGGAGGGCAATGAAACCACAGCTAGGCAGCTAATAAGCCAAAAAAAGTCAGAAATACCCTGTTGTTTGCTTTTTAGAACATTAAGGTGAAATATAGATATATTAAAAAAACAAATTAAAAGAACAGGATATTATGAGGAAATGCTACAGCAGAGGTTAATAAATCCATCTCTTAAAACCCACACTTTTCTTCAGAAATAAAACCAGAAGGTCCCATACAATTTTAGAACTACTCAGACTTTTTTTCTATAAGATGGAAAAGAATGGGAATTTTTTTTATACGAGGCATTTTACTTCTCTGAAATAACTTTTGGGAAAATCTCTCTCAGTGCCCTCTAAATGGGAAAGCCTAAAATTGACAGGGATTGCCTAATCATCCTTACTGTCAAATGGTCCTTGAAAGACTACGGACTTTCAGGACATGAACTAACTGTACTTTGCATATGAATCAATGACAAACACATTGCTGATATTTGGTAAAATATTGGACTAAATCTCACACTTCCCTAACTGAACACTATAAACTTCAAAAAGTATTCTTTGCATCTATCTATAGTTCAATCAGTAAGTAAAGCATTAAGTACTAAGGCATCATGGCTAACAACATTAATTTACAGAAAATTAAAAACAAATGAAATAAATTTGAAAAGTATACAATTGTTTCCTGATAACATGTAGTATCTTGTAAACAAAACGATGCCTATTACACATCACATATCACAGTTGCCCATTTTGAGCAGCCAAATCAATCACATTTTAATTTAGCTTCTAACTTTTAGTTTAGGCATCACAAATAAATCTTTATCAATTGAACAACATGCTTCTATATTTTGTAGTTTGCAAAATTATAAAGAATAAAAATAAAAGAAAAGGCAAAAGGTAAATAAAGATGGATTGTAATGAACTATCATAGTAGTAGAGGCAGATTTTTAGAAGGAAAGGAAATCATTGATGATAACCCACTATACTTTTTCATGTAGCACACTTACAGAGCAAATGAATCACCCTACAGAAATAGCCATAAATTACTATTACAAACATACCTTTTGGATGATGGGTTAGAAGCATGTAAATTGTGACAGCACACAAAATGGCGACTACAGGAAATGTAATCTTACCAAGTTTTGTAACAGCAGAAGCAGTTTTCTGTGAGTAAAGAAAAGAAAACCCTGCCTTCTCGTGATGAATAACCACAAGGAACAAGTTGAACACCGAACAATTTCAGATTGAGGAAGCGAGTGCTAGTAGTAAGCCCTGACACACAGGAAGTGATCGCTTACATACAGCGTTTCCACTTTTCACAATTACCACTGCAGAAAGACTTTGCCTTTTCATACTACTAAAAAGAGTCAAACAGATGTATTCACAAGTGTCTTCAGCTGGTAACAGGCTTTTTAAAAGAACTTTAAAAATTTTACTTCCTGTTGTTCCAGTAAACAGGGGCTGGCCTCCTTTCTATGATATCTGGATGCTTGGAGAAAAGGTTGAGGGGCTATGCAACACCTAATCCAAGCAAAGCTATGCTAGTGACCTTCGAAGTGTGTATACCAAACCCTACCACATACCCCTGGAAAAGGGCTTAGCCTTCTATTGCTTCCCTGTCCTCCTCTACCTAGCAACGGATAGCATACACTTACGTTAAATGAGAATCATGTTCTTGGGTAAGATTATGCCCCAGCAACATTTCTTCCTGGCCACCTACTCATCTTTGAAGATCATCATCAGCCAGCACACAAAGTGCCTACTTCTATGCATATACATGCCTACAGGGCAGGGCCGAAAACAATCCCAGCACAAGGCCATAATACGCACAGTCATTTATTTATTTACTTTGATTTATACCAGCTTGCAAAGAGAGTGCCTGTCTCAGGCTCTGGGCACCCTTGACAATAATTTCAGATGTACAATTGCCTCAATTCACATTGGAGTAGTTTTATGACGGCCTTATGCAGAGGGCAGCAAAAAGCAAGACCAGTCCCTTAAAAGGGTTCAGTTAATTCAGTCTAAAAACATAAAACAGTATAAATGTAAAATCAATAAATAAAAGACTAAACTCAATACTTACTAGCTGGAGAGAAGAAAAGCCAGGAGTACTTATACTTCGTTTACAGAACTGTCCAAAGCTTGGCACTACAGTACCGGTAAATTGCTTCCTTATTTCTGCTGATGAATGCCTTTAATTAAAGAAAATATAACATTAGTATATGGGGTACATAAAATTAGATGGTTGAATATTTCTCCTAAAGTTTGAGCAACTTAACACTTCCAACAAATTGATCCAGAATATCTACAGTCCTAAATGATCAGAGGTTGTTCATTCTCTCATCAACAGATATATTATCATCTCAGCTAAATTTTTGGCAGAGAAAAAAGAATAAAAGCTAGTAGAAATAATCTTAAGTGAAGTGCAAGTGGAACCTGAAGTGGTAGTGTTTGTAGACAGCAGATGTGGTTCTACAAAGTACCTACCACAGAATAAGGGAGAACAGGAAGCCCACTACCATCACAAAAGAACAACAACATTTTAATAATCTGATCACTACCCAAAAACACAACAAGGCAGGAGAATCACTGAGAGAACAGTAAAATCCCAGATTCTGGGCTTGTTGTGACTCAGAAATGAAACAAAGCAAAGAAAAAAAACACAAAATGCAATCCCTGAGAGTAACTTTTTTTAAAGTATGAGGCAAACATAAGGGTGAGATTTTAAAAAATGCTTGCAAACTGATTTTAACAAGGACAGAGGGAAGCCAACACCAAGCACTTTTGAAAATCCCAGAGTGACTACTAAACCATTCAGCCAACTGGTTGATTCTGTATTTTGGGGCCTCTGTACACACCACAATACTAGCCTTTAAAGCAGCTTAAATGCCCTTCTGCACTGCTTTAATGGTGTTGCTGTTTACATTGTTGGCGATTTAAATGGCATGTTAATGGCACTGCTGTTTACACTGTTGGCGGCATATTGTGTGTTAAGTGACTTTGGGCCATAGCAAAATAAAACATGTCTGAAGTGTTTTAGTTTGCTACCTTAGTAGTTGCAGAGGGAAGCACCAGGCCTCATGCAGCTTACAGGCTGTGCAGGTAGCCCATGCAGGTACGATCCACTGAAGAAAAAACAAACAAAGCGACGAGCCTGATCTTTTTTTTTTCTGCCCCCCTCCCTGGAGCCTGCCTGCCTGCCGGAGCTGCACAGGGGGCCAGTACTTCCCTCCACAGTTGCGGTGCCCACTGGGACCACCTGGGCCAGGTGCCTGCAGGCGGGTGCCACTGGGAGGCGCCGCCACTGCCACAGAGGGGAAGCACTGCCCCACTCTGCAGCTAAGGGACTGCTCGGCCCACTGGCAGCTTGCCCTCCCCACTCACCACTACCGGAGAGGCAGGTACGGATCAGGCCCAACTCTTGTGTACGTGTCACAGGAGTTTACTTCAGTTTAAACTGAAGCGGGGTTTTTAAAAACCCCACTGCTTCAATTTAGGGAGAATTAAACTGAAGTAAACCCCCGTGGCATGTACAAGCAGCCCTAGTGATCAGATGGACAGGACTGCTTTTTTTTAACAGTTACTTGACATATATTCTGTAGGGTGCAGGAAATAAAGTCAGATAATATCAGTACATTGTTTTGGAGCTGGTTAATTACATATTTCACTTTGAAGATGCAGAAAACAATTTTTCAAAGATATAATGGGAATTGGGTGAATATAAGTCAGAGTTAGGCCCTTAACTGCTGTTTGATCCTTTGAATGTGTCCCCTTCCCCGGTTGAGAATAACTGGTCTAGGAAGTAGTATTCCCCAGGAGATCACAGTGCTGCAGTGCTTACAGTAAGATATGGTGAATCAGGATTTCATACTTCTATTCTCAGATATGCTTCTGATTTTTTGAATGATGTTGAGTTTTGAACTGAATTTTCTAAAGATGTTGAATGCTCATTTTTGCATCAGCAACCAATAAGAGTTAAGAGTACTCAGCCATCATCTGAAATCCTTTGATTTGAGGTTGATCTCTACCACAAGGCATTGATGGGTCTTGAGGTTACTTAAAAGTCCAATATTTGAGCAACAGATCTGTCTCTGCAGACGTTACAAGTCTTTCCACAGGAAAGAGTAGGTCATAGCACAGGATCTCTCTCCTTGTCCTTCCTCCACTCTCTCTTCTATGCTTTGAAGGCAAGACACTTTACCCTAAAGCAGGCTGCCGTTTGGTTGAGGTTGCAGTGCCATTGTGTTGGTTATCAGTCTGGTCCTCTTAGCTCTTGATGTCAGCATCTATTTTCTTGAGGTATGCCTTCAATGTGTCATTGCAGCGTTTCCTTTGGCCATTGCAAAAATCTCAGGCCGCAACTAAGTTGGGAGTAGAACATTTATTTTGGGAGCTGAAAGTCAGGCATCTGCACACAGTATCTGCTAGGGCTGTGCAAAGATTCAGTCGCTGATTCGATTCGGTGGAAATTCGGCCCGATTTGGTGGCCGAATCTCCAAATGTGAATTGAATCAGGAGACCCTTTAATCTCTTTGAATTGAATCAGAACCCTCCAAATCGATTTGGATAGATTCAAAAAGATTCGGAGATTTGGACATAGACACAGCTTTAAATGTTTTTTCTACATAGCTGATGGCTCATGAATGCTGCAATGTTGGGGTGCATGGAGTGTCCCACGGAAACATGGGGGGCTCTCCAGTGTGCTTAGCAGCAGACCCTGAAGTGGACCAGAAGCACTTTCCCCAGCATGCTCCCTGGCAGACCCAGAAGTACTTCCAGTCCACTTTCGGATTGTCCGAATCAGCATCAAATCTTTGGATTCGGATTCAGCTGAATCAAATTGGGAACAGTGATCTGAATCAACAAATCGAATCACTGTCCCTGATTTCGGCCGAATCTAAATCGAATAGGACCCGTTTCACACATCCCTAATGTCTGGTCCAGCAAAGTTGGTGCTTTAGAATCAGTGACTCAATACTGGTAATACTGGCTTCAACAAGGGCATGGGAGTTTGTGCCATGATCTTCCCATTTGATGTGGAGGATTTTTGTATTATTGGCGATACCTTTCCAGGCTCCTGAGATGACAACAGTAGGTCACCTAGTTTCACATCCACAGAGGAGAGTGAGGATAACAACTGCATTGTAGACCTGGATCTTGATGTCTTTCCAGAGATTGCAATCAATAAAGATACACCAAAGCAATTTCCTGAAGGAAGCACTTGCACACCAGATCCTGTGCTGGATCTCATCCTCAATGTTTGCTGTCTGAGAGAGGTGGCCAGTTTTTCCACCATCAAAGGCCCCCTGCATAAGCTCTCTGATAAGGCAAGTTTTGCCTGGACTCAGGAATGTCAGGATGCCTTGCTTGAGCTAAAGTGGTGGTTAATGTCACCCCGCCATCCTAGCATACCCTGAGCCTCAGTTACCTTTGCTGAATACCAACACGAGTGATGTTGGTGTGGCGGACTTACCAATTCAGCCCAGCTTGAACGGGCTCAGAAAATCTTTGTTTTTATTGGTGGATAACTCAGTTCAGTTAAGCTGTCAAAAAACTTCAGGCTGCAGTCACTCAAAAGCAAAAACAGCACTATGACCTCAGGGTCACTGGACAGATTTATGAACCAGGGGAATTGTTGTGGGTATAGAGCCAGAACAAGAAAGAGGGGCAGTGCCAAAAACTTTGCAAAAGATTAAGTGGCCCCCTATACTGTTGTCAGAAAGTTATAGGAAGTATTATATGAGCTGGTGAGCGGGCCCGACAGACAGACGTCTGTAGTACATTACAACAGGATGAAACTGTATGTGTGGCAAAGAAACAGAGACGCTAGCCCAACATGGGAACTGGAGAAGCCTACCTGTCTACCACCCAGACATTCCCAGGAACTGCTCAAGCTAATGCTGCCATTTCAGTGCCAAATAGGCCTGAGAGAGTGCTGCCAGAGGGTGTCTGTAAACCCAAGGGTGTAGAGTGGAGCCCACGGCCCAACAAGGATGAGACAAGTGAGGCTGGACAAATACAGGAGGTGAGACAGGGGATGAATACACGTAAAGGTACCCAATATTACCCTAAGCTGAGGGAAGCTCCCAATCCCGAGTTTGAAGGCAGGCGACAGAGGAAGAGGATACCTCGCAGGTGGCTTAGTGATTACATGCTGTAACTTGGGTTGAACCCTTCTGGTCCCAGCACACCCACTGGGCCTCAGGCCCCTCGCTGGGCCTCTGGACCCGCACGGTCCTGTTCTTCCTCTGGCAAGTACTTTTCTGTTGGGGTGTGCTCTCCTAGCCTTTCCCCTCCAAAGGGTCACCCATAAGACAGTGGGAGCTGAGGCTTTCCAGTGTCCCGTCCTTGCCTTTCCCTAGAGTGGCCCATGTACGGCATTTCATGGAGGCTACCCTGCCACAGGCAGTCCCACCACAACAAACAACTCCAATTGGTAGGGTGAAGTTTTAGGTCTTAGCCAGGGCTGGTCTTCAAACCTTCCTAGCCTTCTACCTCTCTGGGCTCTCCCCTAGATGCCCTATACCCCTCCTGGGCTACTAACCAATGGGCCCCTGACCCCAGCTCCATCTTGCATCCAAATCCTCTATCTCTGGCCCCTAGCTCACTCTCGGCATGCTACCACCCCTTGTCATTCTGGGCGGCATGCTTCCTCACCCCTCCCTCTTGGCTGTGGCCCCACAAGGACTTTTGGGCCTCTTCTAGACCCTGGCCTTGCCTCCAGGCCAGTCCAGACTCCAGGCTCTCCCAGCTCTGGCCACCTCTCGTGGTGGACTCTCTCACACTTCGGCCCCTCCTGGGCCCTTGCCCCAGCATAGGCCAGTCCAAGTTCCCAGGGTCTGTCCTCCAACTACCAGCCCTCTCCTCACTGTGGGTCCACCCATTCAGGCCTCTCCATGGGTTTGGAGCCCTCCATAGGACTTCCTTACTGCAGCCCCTTCCTTCTCTGGGCTCATCTAAGCCCCTCATGGCCCCTCATAAAGCCCCTGTGCACACAGTTCCTCTCTGGGCTTGTCCTGAGCCTTCCTCTCAACAGGCTCCAGGCACTCAAGCCCCTTTCTCAGGGCTCTGGAGCCCACACCGGGTCCCGAGGAACCTCCTCCAGTCCTTTAGTTCCTCCGGATGTCATTCTCCTCGCTGGCATTCAGGAATGGCAGCCTTCCTGGTAGATAATCTTTCTTCCACAGCTCCC